TATATATATATATGCATGCGTGTGTGTGTGTGCTGAGATCATTTGACACTTGGATTACCAGTGTCAAATTATCTTATTTAAGTCACTTAAATAAGATCACATCATTCAAGATTGGTCACACTTTCAGGTGACCATAAGTTGGGCAATCTTTCTGCAGCAAACACTAATTGTGTTCATATACTCAAAACAAAAGTAAAGGTAGTGAGTGGCACACAGCCCATCTAATGGAGGAAAAGTTGTTTTTCTACCCACAAACTGACTGAACTAAAAATAGAAGTCTTTCACATTAAAATACTCTCACAAGTACAATTTTCCTAAAAAGCTAATTGCGTAAATGTAACATGTTCCTAAGTGATTATGTTTGCATGGATCATTTTTTATTTGTAGTTTTTTTTTTTATTTTAGGTTTAACTTCCTTAATCTTTAGTTGTTTGTTTAGCTCCATCACCTATAATCAAACTGAAAAAGCATTTAAGTTTCTGTCTGTAAATCAATAAAACAAAGAATACCAAGGGGTGAATACTTGAGCAACTCGTTATAGAGGGGAACAAACATTTCCTTAAATCAACCACAATTCTTCCATGACTCTGTGGGTCCTCAGCTAAAATGGTATAAAATCCTGTCAGCTTGATCCTTAGCAGCGTCTAACCATGTGTGTTTGAACCAGTGTGCTTCCTGAATGGTTGAATAAAACCYAAAGCCACATCCCTTCAAAGCTTTCTGATGATGTGACCAACGTTGCATCATTCAGGATGCTCTGTCACTCTCTGAAAACAGCAGTTTCAGACTGGCAGCTGCTTAAAGCAGTGTTTGGTTCAATCTRTGGCAGTGGCAGAGCTGCCCTAGTGGTTAATTTCTCTCTCACGACCTGTTTAATGCTCCTGCCTGTGCACCTGACCATTCAGGGCAGGCTTAAACACATTTTGCTCCCTGATGTGGTCGGGACAGCACATCGAGCATACACCAGCCTCTTTCCTTCTGCTGCTGCTGCATTCATTGCCTTATGTTTGGAAAGACTCGATGGTTCCAGATACAGAAAGTAATGATTGAACAAGAAGTCTGTCTGTTTCTGAACAGAAGGTTATTGTTTAAAATGGGCTTGAGTCTGCGGAGTTGGGGAGCAGAGGGGTGTCTGTGTTGTCTTAGTGATGGAAGGCGCCTCACTCATCCTGCGGCGGTGCATACAGAGGAGGCGATTCATCAGCTTCCTTCAGGACTGTGAGCACCAACAACCCAGTCCCAGAGCTGAGCGCCGTGCTGCGAAACCAAAACAAAGGTCACAGTCCTGCCCCCAAAGGCTGCAGTTTCCCCCATTGTTTGTTTGGCTGTGTCATCGTTCCTCGCCTYGACTGTGTGCCTACAGATCTAAGACTCTCAGTGTTCAGAGCTGCTGTTTCTATTTCAGAACAAATAAAAACATCTAGAATCTTGACTCATGCTCGCCATGCTTGCAAGGGAAGTCTTCAAAAATTGGATTCAGTCTACCATTCTGCSATTAGATTTGTTACAAATGCTCHGTATAAAACTCTCCACTGTCTATTATACTCTCAAGTGAATTGGCTTTCCTTGCAGTCTAGCYGTAATGCCCATTGGCTCTTGTTYRTTTACAAAACCCTGCTAGGTCTTTCACCTCCCTRTTTAAATCAGTTACTACAACGAGAACCTCCCTCAAGGTACAATACTCGTTCYTCCCAGCTTATTAGATTGAAAATCCCAAAAACCAAGTCTTCCTTTGGCCTCATGTCTTTCCGCTTTGCTGCAGCAAATAATTGGAACTTCTACCAAAATACACTGCGGGGCCCAATTTGTTGAACATAAAGTGGCACGAGGCCCAGTCAGACATTAGCAATGTACAGATCAAAATGATAATTATTC